GGCGGCCTATTGTTAGGCTTCTTATTCCAACACATTTTCATGAGTTGATAGATGGCTGGCGGACACGAGTCGGGACACACGAGAACATTGCCTTCTTTCACATATTTGACTACTTCTTCGTGAGTCATACCATAGTATGGCTGCAAAGCAAACGAGAAGATCTCCCAAAGCAGTACCCCATAGGCCCAGCAATCGGTTTCAATCGTGAATTTGTTGTACAGAATCGACTCCAAAGGCATCCAACGAATAGGAACGGCGTCGTGTTCTGAGCCCTTGTAGTAGTTGGAGGTATAGATCTTCTGCGAGAGACCAAAGTCTGCGATCTTAACCACCATTTGGTTGCTGACCAAACAGTTTCTCGTGGCCAGATCTCTGTGAACGAACTTACGGTCGGACAGGTATATCATTCCCGCGGCTATCTGTCGGGCGATGTTCACCAAATCCATGTGATTCAGACGAATGTCATTATAGCTGTCACTATTGGGGGCTCTTATGATGTAATTGGATGGCGAACACGATCTCAAGAATTCGTTCAGATCTCCTCTTCCCATATACTCTATAACGATATGAATATAAATAAAATATAATAATTAATACAAATATATTGTCAATCAAATCTATTAAACATCGCTTACCAATCAACAAACACATGGGCTTCCCGACCGCACACACGCCCAACAGCTTCAGAATATTCTGGTGATCGAAATCAGACATCAGAGAAGCCTCTCTCTCGAAGTCGCTCACGAGGTCTTCGGTGGCCTCTTCTTTCAACATTTTCACAGCTATCCGACCGCACACACGCCCAACAGCTTCAGAATATTCTGGTGATCGAAATCAGACATCAGAGAAGCCTCTCTCTCGAAGTCGCTCACGAGGTCTTCGGTGGCCTCTTCTTTCAACATTTTCACAGCTATTAGTGTCAACTCTTCGCCCTTCACTAGGTTTGGCGCCTTTGCCTGCGTTTGCAAACAATCCGACAAACAGTTAATACAAGATTCTTGAGATATACGAGTATGCTATGAGTGTATGTGTTATTTGTAAAACTAATACATTATAGAAATATTTGCTCTTTGTATATTAATACTATATGAATTGGTGCTAATATAGAAAATAATCTGATTATAAGTATATACAACACAAGTGTATAGAGAAATATATTTCAGTATTTTTGTGAGTTTTATTAAATTAATTTCCATTGAATATAAGGCAAGAAAGTCCCGCCCTTTTAATCACTAATATTAGATATATTTGAGCGAAAGAAATGCTAATTTATTTGATTATAAGTGAATAGTCTTGCATTGAATGGATTGAGTGTTGATATAGTGTTAGACAAATGCAAACAAATACAAACCATAAAGACTCGGCCGAAAGCGCCGGCACCGATGTCTCTGATATAGATGATGTCATTCCTGGGATATTCTAAGGCTTCTAATTTGGGATTCAATTTGACTGAAGTGGAGTGGTAGGCGAAATTGGAGGGCAGTTTGTTTAGGTCGATCTCCACATCTGTAGTGAGGGCTGCGTTATAGCCTCTCCTCCGGTGCTTATTTAGACGACAAACGGTTAGTATTATGACTAAAAGGCAGCCAAAGATTAACACAACAATTGAGCTCAATATGAGAATTAGTGGCGGATTAAAGTTAGACTGGAGTGGAGTCGAGAAGATCTCGATTAGTGTCGGGTCGACGGTCTCGTTGTTGTTGTGAGCCATCTCTTCCGACTCTAAAATTTCAATTCAATCACAAAAATAGATTTTGAATTAAAAATCTCACGAATTGTTTCGCTTTTCACATGAATTGCTTCTGATTTAATGGACAAATAGTTACCGCAAGAAGGGATGTGACAGTGTTGCCAACGCACCAGTGGGTCGGATGTGTAGCACCTGGAGTACAATTCGTGTTTCATAAATATATCCGATATTTCAAGTATTGTTTAAAATTTAATTTGAATCAAACAAAGTGTACAATAAATGCATACCAAGGATGCGGTTCCTCTCCGCCCGCATTTCTGCAATAGTTATCTGAATTCCAAATCTCTGGGAACACAAAGGGAGGCCTATTGTGAGTGTGAGGCACTTGACTATCCCACTTCTGGCACGGTATGCCCTCTTTGGTCACATTAACCCTTCCCTGATAGTAACGTCCCCTGCCTTTGGCGCAGCTATAGGTGACCTGATCGGTCTGGAGGACAGTGAGACTGGCGTGAGAACAGGGAGGGTCTGTGAGATTGGCATGACTTGGGAGGAGATCGCAGTCGGGGAGCCGGAAGTGTCCGCGAGATTTGAAGAAAATACCCTTTTGTTTGTTGTCCTCGAGTAGAGCCCACTCGCGATTGCAAAGCGATTCCCTGACGGCTATGCAGTCCTCTCTGCACAGGGTTTTGCTGACGGGAGAGCCCTGAGTGTAGTGGCACTGAGGGAACGCATAGTTGCAGAACAGGGTCTCCGCAGCGCTCCGACACGGCTCCTGAAGCGATGATATCAGTTCTGTCCACAGATTTTGAGCAATCATTTCATTGAGAGGTATGTGAACCCCGAAGTCATCGGTGGTTAGATTAAAGTACACCAAAGAATTGTTGGGAATATAACGGCGACAAACAGTTCCCGAATATGGGGCACAATATCCTGATGGCATCGGCTTATCGTCTCTCGTGGGCGTCAAAGCCGCGATCGACGGCATCGCCTGTTCGCTCATCTCAAGCTCTGATAATAGGCTCCGGGAGTCTGGGAATTGGATAAACAATAATAGTGAGTAAAATTCAAAGACAAACTCTAAGAATTCATTATCTGTCAATCAAACCACTCTAAGAGGTGTTTATTCTTATGCACTTTTATCACTTTTTATGTGTGTATCGGCACTGGTATTGAAATTTCAGTACTACTCAAACCACGGAATAGTAGAGTAGAGTGCCATTCACTACTGTATATATAATTTGGATATACATTTGGATCGATTTGTAACTAATATATAATCTCTCACATCAATAGCTGATGTATTGGCTCTACACTCAAATTGAAAGCATTTAATACCAGTTATGTTAGAAATATTTTGCTTAAGTACTAAACGTGCAGTACTTTTGAGTTTTGGAAAATAGGAAAATAAAAGAAAAGACTTCAAAGTTTTTATGAGTGATTTCTGCTTCAGTTATTATATTAGACGCGAAATGCGATTCACTCAACAAAAAGCAATTCTCCACTCAATTCTCGACTCAAATGTTGTATTCAAACGGCTTTTCATTTGACGCCTTAGGCTTCTGGTTATGAATGAGAAAACAAAATGCATGTCAATTGAGAATAATATAAGATGTGAGGGATAGTCAGTAATCAGTAGTCCTAAGAATAGTTATGGGGAACGACTGCTTTAGTTACCATCCATTTGATTGTCAAATGCTTTGGGGCAGAGAATAAGCATTTAAGGATACAAATGATCATAATTGTCAGCATTGCCGAGCATTTGATCCAGAATTTTGATGATTGTCACTGATTGTGTAGAATTTATACATAAATTCTTTGAAAAATATTATTATTATAAGTATACAAAAATATTTTTGTCCGCAATTTATTTCAATATATTGTATGGCTTATGGAATATAACATTCATATTTAAGTAAATACAATATTATTTGCCATGAATTTCAATCGAAGTTCAATGACTACAGATTACATTTCATGACATGTGTTTGAAAAATCAATTTCAATTCAAAGCAGAATTTTTCATTTCAAATAGTCTATGAATTCGGACTCAAAAGCAAACATAAGCTGAAATAAATTTTTGTGATTTTAATCCAAATCATATAATTTTATTGATTTTGCACTTTTAAAACAATAGTTAAGTCTTAAAGTTTTATTTGTTATTTGTTTGTCGGCGTCAATCTAAATCAATAAACTTATTTTCCTTAAGACATATCAACATTTATGTCAAAATATTTATTGATTGAGAAAAGAAAATATTATATAACATTCAAAAATATATCAATTAAAATGAGAGGAAAAAAGCAAAAAACATTTCAAATTTCAAAACATGATGATAACAACAACTGCTTTCATTAAAATCTCGTAAGAAATTAAGTGAATAGAAAAATATCCCAAAAATAAACATTGATTTTACTTAACATATGTTTAGTAACGTAAAAACAATGAGGTTTTATTAAATTACAATTAATTACTCTGGTAATACAATATCGAAAGCATGATTATTTTTTATTCGGCATTTAATTAAAATTTATTGAAGGATAAAATTAATTAAAATTTGTGATTCGCTTTGAAAGTCAAACACAAGTTTTAGTGATCAAAAAAACAGATAAAATAATGGTTTATGAGTTGCAAAAAGAATAATGTTTTGTGAGTTAAGAAAAATTGACAAAAGACTTGTGTAAAGAGAAACTATCGGAGCGTTATCTCCGAGAGATTTTATGACTAAAGATTGCGAACATTTTATATAAAATATAAGTAAATCATCAAATAGCGTCAAATCATATTCAATGCATGCATCCATTCAAATGGTGTTACAAATACTGTATTTATACTCCGAAAAGAGTGTCAAAAAGAAAAGATTCTTCAAATGAAAAGACTTTTTTCCATAAAATTATAAAATAAGAAATTCAATTTATTTCGACAATAATTTCGACAAAGAGTTATCACTCATTATTATAAAGATAGCGCTGACATAAAATTGTGACTTTATGCTAATAAGTATCAAAATTGACTAATGAATACAAATCTACAAATCTATAGTGGGATGTGAGTGAGTGAGTGAAGAGAGAGAGAGAGAGAGAGAGAGAGAGAGAGATGACTGTCAATAAAGGATGGGTGAAATGCAAATGAATGGTCTTTTCTGTAATGAGATATCTATTCATTATCTAAATAATAATAAGCGATAAATGGTAGCAATGGATGTGATCACGAGAGCATCACTAATAAGCCCAACATATAATACACATGTTTTAGACATTAATGGCATGAAAATTGTATAAAACACAACAAACACAACCAATTCAACATCAATGATAGCACAGAGGATACTATTTGTGGATTATATGTCTCTTAACGCTTCTCTTCTTTGACACCTTTTCCTTTATTGCACTTCCTTTGAAACTATCAATAAATGGCACAAATTAAAGGTTTAAAACCATTAATGAAATTCTATGAGAATTCTATTCACATGACATCCACTTTCATAGCATATACACTAAATTTAGATATATTGTACAGTATATTAAAATATTCACATAACTTTAAATAAGCAATTAAAATTTTAAGGTGATTTTATTAATAAAATGTTAAAAATTGGAAAATATAATATATGAAAAGTATCATTTATTGTATCGATTGCCGCTATTATGCATATAAAGTTACAAAGCAGTCATATCTCCCGATAAGTCTTATATACTGTAAATAAATCAATGAAATATGATTAAATTGTTATTTAAACGAATATAAGATTTCAATGTCATATAACTTCAAGAGTCATTAATATTGAATTCAAATCTATGCAAAATATCAAGCAAACCATGAATTTATTCAACAATATATTTGAATTCTTGTAGACAGATAGTATACATTGTATAGTATTGTATATACTACAGGTATACAATACTCTTCTGCAGACCCTTCGACTTGATCTTCTTCCCGATCGCCTTCGGGGTCAACGCCTCGTGTTTACCCATTCAGACACTTCTTGTCGGTCGACACTTCTGAGCTGATTCACAACCAATGGATTGATTGCTTGATTGAGTGGTCGATTGGCCACAAATAGGAGACAATCACTGGAGTTGTGGTCACTTCTTGTGCACAGATATCACAACAAACACTGAATATGAGCTCATATTTGGTTCACTAATCAATGATGTCTTTAAATGTTGTTTTCAAAACTTGTTTTCAAAAATACTTTCAATTTTGACGTTTAATTCAATTATAAAAACTCTGAATGAAGTAAAGGCTTATACAGTATAATACTGTCCGACCAGATATTGGCCTCAATATAAGTCCCATTGCACTCACATATACCCCACACCCCCACAGACCCCCATTTGGTTTTTAAAATATTAAAACCCGCTTATGCTTAAATTGAGACATTTATTGATTCAGCTGTTCTGGATACAATATCTATGAGTAGAAGGCATATATTTTAAGATAAATTTTGTTAATAATTGATATGAAATAGAAGTGATGGCAAAAATAAGTAGAATTAGTGAATATCCTGGTCCATTATGCAAAAAGTATTGGGAAGATATTGTAAATGTTTGTGAAAGCATTAACTTATATAAATAGATGCAATTGAATACATGGAGTGAGAGTACATACAGTTTAGGGTTAATACAGTGTAAGTGTGTTGAGAGCAGTGAAAGATATTTATAATTTAAATTTTCTATAAATGTTGTCCGATTTGTTCCCAAATTCTCGATAACAATGAACTCAAGAATCTATTTATAAACAGAAACCCAAATAAACGAGTTTTGATACAAAAGCGAGTCTTTGGCACAACTTCTATGCCATAGAATATACA